AGGGGAGAACTCCCCATTGACCTTTTCAGAGGTGAGGGAAGAAAAAAAGGCAGAAATTATGCTTTACTTGCAATCCTGACAACTTAGTTCCCTGCTAGGGACAGCGAGAGGGGAGGAAGAGCAATGTGGAATTGGGGTGGTGTTGGCAGAAGGGAGGACTGAGCATAACCTTCCTACTGGCACAGGACTATCGGTGAAGCCTCTTGGCTTGGTTTCTTGCCTATCCAGCCATTGATGTGCGTCCAAGTCACCTGTAACAGCAAAGGGTTTTTATGAGTTAAAATAAAATCTTATGCAAGTGCAAAATTTAGAAGGATGAATTATGTTACAATAATACTAAGTATTGTTATCATGTGTAACCTAATAGCGATATAATGAATGAGAATCAATTCGCTTAATACCTTCTAGAAGAACTAGATGTGTGGAAAGCAAAACTGTTTTCTATAGTAAAGCCTGTGCAAATTGCATGGGAAATTAAGAGATAGTAAGAAAAGCTGTGTTGCTGTTTATCTGGTGAAATTTGGAGCTTATATGTGAAAATTTGTGGGTTTAAACTTCTGCTCTGCTACACAAACACTGAGAAGAAATACGGAAGAGACAGGTACACCTGCTGCATTAACTGCAGCTGATAAATATGATGTCTGCTCTGCGCTGGAGCTACTGTAGCCTCCTTCCCCTGTGGCCATCTGCTTTATCACTGAAGTCAAGTCAATAAAAGGCCTGTAAAAACCAAAAAGGAGGCATATGTTCTGTCAAAGAAGAGTCATTGCCCGCTGTTCAATGCGGTGTAGTGTACAATGTGATCATCTCTTGGTGAGCCTTCAAAGAAACGGTTCTGCGTGATCCTTTTCCGTACAAAGGGCCTTGTACTTGAGAAGCGGCCTTAAGGACAAGTCTAATGGAACAGGATTTTAATCATATACTGGGTGCACCCTCTGAAGTGCTTTGATGGCAGCCGTTTTCTGAAAATTTTGCCTCGTACACATAGGGCAGAAATCCCTGTAGTTGCCTTGCATGAATGGGTGTTCAACCACTGCTAAGGTTACTCTGCTGTCAGTTTGGCTTGCTCCTTCTGGGGTTGCTCCTCAGCTGGCTCTTCCCATCCCATTTAGGATAAGCTGGTTGGCTCCCTCCTCAAAGGAATCCAGGTGTAGGCCAGAGGAGAGTGCATTCATGGTCCACATGGCACGGAAAAGATGCAGCTTCCCTCTGGGCAAGTGTCACGGTCCAGGGAGGACATGCTCCTTCATCTGTGAGGCATTTACCATAGCAAGTGACAGCAAAAGAAAGTCATCTTCTCAAAGCTGGCACCCATAAAGTGTCTTGCAGTGTTTTGCACTGTGGTGCAGGTTTAGCTGAGGAAAAGAGATGTTTTCACCTTGAAACCATCTACAGCCTAGATGTCTGAGGCTGGTGTCCAATGCTGGGATCTTCATTGGTGAGTTGAGGGGTATGAACGTGTCAGTCTGGTGACACGTGAGTGAAGTCTTGCCTTAGGAGTTGTCTTTAGTGCCATAGAACTGGCATGAATGGGGCCAACTGATTTTTGGGTTTCCTGTGCTGCAGCAGTTTCTACTTTGCGGTGTCCTCTGCTGTGCCATGATGGAGGTGATGGGTCCATAATCTCTGTTAGCAGAGCTGGTGACTTGAAGTCCCTCAGTAAGCACAGAGCGTGGGTGGCATTTGCTTCTTTACATGGGTAGAGTTGCTGGAACATAGGTGTCTGCCTACACTTTCCTCCTTGACCATCATATAGATGTTCAGCCACAGGAACATCTAGAACGTCCTGCTGCTCCTGAAGGACGCTATTTAGAGTTGAATGATACACTGCTTAGGGTATCGTACCTTTTACACCATCTTCCCTCTCTGCCTTTAATTGGAGAGAAGAGCAGAGGAACAAATTCTGAAGGTGTATCTCTGGCACACTGATCTCCAGATTTCCTGCCATGAAGGGGAAAAGGAGGGTGATTTTCAAGTAAGGTGAGAGCAACTTGCTTTCTGGTAGTAATTTCAGTGTGTAGTTACACGTCACATCAAATTATAAGCATGCAGAACTACAGGTTTATAATCTAGTTTTGACACTGTTAGGTATGGAGTTGCATGCTCATACGGAGTTACATACTAAGGAGCTATAATATTGCTGCATTTTGTCATCACCGGGTCCATCACAGAACTTGTTTCTCAGGTGGTGAGGAAGTAACCAGAGAGTTTCCCGAGTGCCTTTTTTCCCCTCCGTCCTGGAGGAGTTGCTGCTTCTCTGAATACTTGTCACTTAAATATACAAATACATCCAATGTTGTGGTTCTGGGAATTTTTATAATTTATGCTGAGCTCTGTATTTTTCTGGCTAACAGAAATGTAATTGAAGGTATTACTTAGTTTTATAACATGGATTTTATTTCCAAAGCCCTTCATGATTACAAAATAGGTGACCTTGTTCTGTGACTAATTTAATGCATAGATTTTGGGGGCTGGCTTTCATCAACATCCCTCCCCTCTTTGTTTTTTTGCAAACATCTTGAAGCGTGGTATTTTTGCTGGCTCTTGTGGAATTGCTTTAGAAAATGTTAGTTCTTTGATACTTGGCTTTCCCTGCCTCTTAAGCTTTGTAAAGCTTTAGCTAGGTAAAGCAGTCAGCTGCGGTGGTTCATCTAATTTTGTGGTGTTGATGAGTCGATGTATTTTGGCTGTTGAGGCTTCCTTGGGTTTCACCAGTCTCCGGGCACGTGGTCCTTGAGCTTGCTGTGGCCAACAGCTGTGCGTTAGCCCACTGTACCCCTCGTTACAGTCTCATCTCTGCGTATGTCTGTCTCCATTAGCATTAAAGGTATTTTGTGCATAATTTACAGAGTTATCAAATACTTACAAGCTCCATTTCTGTTATCCCCAAGCAGGCTGCACTCAGCAGAAATTGCTGTCTGAAAACACGCACAGCTGGTAACCTTTGCTGGTATTCTGCACAGAGCAGAAACACTCCGCTGCTCTCTGACAGGCAAACATATGCATTCAGGGTTGGGTTTTTTTTTTCCCCCCCTTTTTTTTTTGTTTCTCTTGCTCATTTGAATTCTTACCGACAAGTAGTATATTGAGTAGCAGTACTGATAGTCAATGTTGCGTTGTCGCAGTTTCCCTCCTCTGGCATTGATTTTGCTTTGTGACCTTGACAAGTCATTTCACCGCTGCCTTTATTTTCCCACCCAAAAATCTTCTTGCCTTTGGTTTCAGGCTATAATTTCAAAGAATCACGAATAAAAATGCTATATAGAGGTGGATGTTAGTGGTTGCTGACTGTAGTAAATGCAAGGGCGTAGCTCATCGTCTCAGGAAACAATGCCTTTAGGCAGCCCTGGACCACCTTGCTTTTGGGTGGTTGAGTTTGCTCTGTGGCTCCTGCTGTCTTCTCCCAACAGCGTGTGTTGGAGATGGGTAGCTCTTCGTGCAGGGTGATGCCCAGCAGCTGGCTGCAGCGCTCCTGGCTTTTGCCTGGAGCCCCTACAGAAATAACTGCAGGAGCAGCGTTCGCATTATGGAGGGGTTGCAGCCTTCCCAGTAGCTCTCAAGACACCAGTAGCACCAGTGTTGCACAAGCAGGTTGTTTCAGAGAAGACCGGCCATTCGCTGTGCGTAGACTTAAACATCTATGGCAGGAGCAAATTTTACTGCTGAGAACAGCACAAGAAGTGACCTGTTCTCAGCCTGAGGCTTTTGGTACAGAAACAGAGAAAATGAGGACCCCTGGGTAGGCGCCAGCCGTTTGGGTGAAACACTGAGGAAGAAGGCGTGTGTAGTTCTTGGTGACTTTGGAGATGGTGGTTGTGAGAGCAAGCGAGTTCCCTAGAAGAGCGCAGGAGCGGTGTATTGCCATCGTGCCAGTCGCTCACCCAGCTTATGAAATAACAGGTGCTGGTTTAAGCACCAAAAAAAAGAAAAATAAAAAAAAAAAAAAAGAAAGAGAAGACCGATCAGTGAGGTATTTCTTAAGTGAGAATAAGATAAACTAACTATCCTTTGTGAGAACAATCGTTGGTAAATCAATTAGTGTTCTAACAGCCTGGTACAAAATCACCCTCAGAGACAGTTCCCCAGTGCCCTGCCTGAGCCATGGCACGAAGCGAGCAGAGAGCCTCCTCACTGTCGTTATTTCTGTAGCTTTTTAGTAGGGCCAGCTGTGACAGGACAAGGGGTAATGATTTTAAACTAAAACAGGGTAGGTTTAGACTGGATATAAGGAAGAAATTCTTTACAATGAGGGTGGTGAAACACTGGAAGGGGTTGCCCACAGGAGGTGGTGGAAG